AGCCGCCGAAATTCGACAGCGAGATTATATTCGAGCTCAAGAGCGCAAGGTACAAAAAGAACGAGAAGCTGAAGGAGACGAATTCGAAGGAATGGAAACTTTCATAACACCAGCGTAGGTCTATCATGCTCGAAAATTATTGTCCATTTCTTTACTTGCACGTTAAGTACTATTTAATCGTGAACAGATATAAAGCACTACAAGAAGAGTTGAGAAAAGCTGAGGAAGAAGAAAGGCTGCAAGATAAATGAATAAAAAATGGATTATATTTATATTTTAATTGGTCACGACATTCACACCAGTGATCGTTTTGTAGAAGAGAAGGATGCAGCTGGAGCGAAAGATATAACATCATTTTATAGGAAATTATTAGATCAAACTAGTTCATCAAAAACTGCAGCCATAGAAGCAAGTTATTCTAAGAAGTCAAAGTTAAGAGCAGCTAGTAAAATGGTAATGTTGAATGATAATGAACAAATAGTGGACAAATGACAACTTCTGTCAGCTGGATTAAACGTTATAAAAAAGAAAGCTTCTATATCACGATCGTCAGATGGTTTATCTCGAAATAGGTCTTATAATGATAGCAAAAGATATGATAATAAATATAATCCAAGAATAGCGATGAAATGCGTCATCGCGAGAGGCAAAGTCGAGAATTAGAAAATTAAAATTTAGAACTCAGCAAAAAAGGGTGGAAGAAGAAAAGCTTAAGGAGCAAGAGTTGTTAAGTAAATTGGAAAGAAAGAATGATGATAAAGTGATTTCTAATGCAAGGGCCAGATATCTGTCTAGGAAAAAAAAAGAATAACAATTAGGTATTATATGCTACTTCTGATCGTTAATTTTATAGAATGATTCTTGTTAAAGAACTTTGTTATTTCAGAGGAAACCTTTTATACATATAGCATAGTTTTATTTAGTGATTTGGTTTAAAATTTTATTATTAATTTATGCAAAAATTTGATACTAGTAAGAAAGGTAAGATCAGTGTTGATTTTTGGTCAGAAGGTTACCTAGATTTGGTAGCTTGTGCCAGCCAAGGACTGCAGTTTTTGGAGCATTTACTAGGAATTGTATAAATACATCGAATCCTATCTGCAGCTGCATGAGCCAAAAATGTGATGTAATAAGATGATTTACAGAAGATTAGTATATGTTAATTAGAAAAAACATCCTCTAAAAATTCAAATATAGACCTACCCACATGGTGTAAGTTGATATTTGGATAAAAGAAGGTGGATTGGTTATGATTAAATTTACAGTTAATAGTAATATTGGTATATATAAGACTACAAGTGTATGGTTTAAATATAATAATTCAATAAAAATCATGACATTGAATGCCCATTTACCTTTAAAATATATATATATATATATTTTAATTATTAACAGGCATTAAATATGAGATTTTATTTAAATTTTTATTTATGATCATTATATTAACAATCTTTACATAAATAAATTAATTATAACCTATTGTAACAATATAAAATAATATATACAAACTTTGAAAACCTATATGGAAAAAAAAAGGAGCAAATAATAGCTAGTTACTAATTATATTATAAATCAGTATATATGTTTATTAAGAAAAAAGATATGAATTGTTTGGTATAACTAGGAAAATTAGATTTTAAATATATTAAACCTGAAAACTAGTTTGTTGTTATAATATAGCCTGTGGATTTTTTTTATATTAGGAACCTTAATCTTGTTATGAAATAATCATCTTGTATTAATTTTTTGAAAAAGTAACCTAATTACAATTTTTTATATGAATAGAAATTAAAAGAATAAATAAGAAGATTAACTTCATAAAAATTTTTTTGAGTATAAAAAAATAATAGTAATATTAGAGAAAGAATCTATAATGATAATAGTATAGATTGCAGTTTATTATTTTTAAAAATTATTAATTATTTCAATTTTGACAATGTAGAATTTCAATAATTAATAGAAGTTGATATACAAGTTGTAATTGAATCTCACCAATATATTATAGATTATAGTAAAAAAAAATATGATATTAATACAGTACTTAACAATACATTAGAAGAACTAAAATAGTTTTAATTTTACTATATTTGTTTTTTGTTTTTTATATTTATTTCATATATTAAAATAATTTTAATATTAAGTATAAAAAATATTATTATTTCCTTAGGGTCTCGGGGTGGCCCAAAGGAGTCCCTTAAGGAGTCGCGCCCCACTTGGTCAGCAACCGAGCCCCCAGATTTGGTAGCGTGTGCCAACCAAGGACAGATCTCGGAGCATTTACTAGGAAGTGCATATATATATGGATCCCTTCTGCAGTTGCGTAAGCCGAAGACGAGATTCAAGCAAGACGATCTATGGAGAATTAGCATGTGTTGGTTAAGAAATGTCCTTGAAGCCTAAGTATGGACCCACCCTTGAGGTGTTAGTTGGTATTTGGGTAAAA